TTGTGCTTATGACACAGGTGTAGCAGGTGCAGTGCCACTGAGCTAAATCCCCGGCCCAAGGGTCTTTTTATATTTTGTGTTTTAAACTTTGGGAAATATGTGTTAAACTTTGGGTAATGTCTGCTTTCACATTACTTTATTTACTTAGCCATCTTGCAGAAATAGCAGTTAGGACCGTGGAACAGATTCAGACCTATGTGTAAGGGCAAATGTATTTAAGAATTCAGAATTGGGGGATTTTTAGGAAGTTGATTGTGATACAGATGGTACATATGGTACTGTTGGTAGGACCTGGGATAACGTAACGTAATACAACATTTTTACGGGGAAAGAACAGTAGAAACACTGGAAAAAAGAAGGCATGAAATTAGCCTTAGTGTTAGTCCAGGTTTTGTCACCAGATGAATTTTAGAAAAAAATCTTGTTTATGTAGAATTTGGCTTTTAAGATTGAGAATGTGGGATTATGGGTGTATAAAATAGGTGTTTTACATGCGATCCCTTTGGGTGTCTCGTTCTTAATTTATTCCTGTGTGTTGAGGTGTGTATGGCTTAAAAATTTTACTGTCTGATCTTTTTTAGGTAGATGAAGTTCCTGATGGTGCTGTAAAGCCGCCTACAAACAAACTGCCCATCTTCTTTTTTGGGACTCATGAGACGTAAGTCCTGTTACTGTAGAGAGAAATGAGAGCTTATTTTGCCTTTGAACTTTGAAATATAGTCTTCGACTTTCTTTGGCAGCGCTGAGGAGGAGTTTCTTTTTTTTTAAGGTGCAGATTAAAGACACTTTAGATTTAAAATTTTTACCGGAGTAAGTGTTTCCTGAATCATAAAAGTAAGTTATCCTCTTGGCAACACAGAAATGAATGTTAGGTGCAATGTGAAGGGGAAGTTGTAAGAAGGCTTTCATATTCCCACGTAGTGAAATAGCTGGCTTCTCTCAGTGCTGCCTGGACCCTGTGTTAGGCTTCTAGGCTTAGGCTTGGTTAGGTTAGCCCTGCAGATGAGAAGAGGACAGCTGGACAGTTCTCGCTGTGTTTCTGCAGTCACTAGAGCTGCTCCACTCTTCTGTTCTGCTGCCCCTGGTGGATGTGTGGGCAGAGAACTGACTTGGAGAAGTCAGTACATTTTTCAAAAATTGTAGCTGAAAGTTGAACTGTTAATTCTAGGTGCATGGGATTATTCCGGGGGATGTCCTATTACTTCCCAAAGATCTGTGTTTTTACATACATGTGACTTAATACCCTTATAAGCGCTGCCTAACCTAGGTGATTTGGGATTTATGTTTCTAGAGTTTAAACCCAGGGCCTTGCTACACATGCAAGGCAAATGCTCTACTATTGAGCCCCATCCCCTGTAACAAAATGTGTTTGCAGTGTGTGGTGCCAGGTCTATCAACATGAGCATCACAAAGAGCTTCAGGTAAAAAGAAATTCTTAGGCCCCTTCAGACCCCATTCTGTGAGATACGGGACCTATCTGTTCTAGCAAGTCTTTCAGATAATTCTGATGCATGCAAAGGTTGGAAATACTTAGGTTAATGTGAGCATTCTTTAGAATTTTTCAGTTTTATAAGTTCCAAATTCTACAGTTATGATTTTTCTGATTTAAAAATATAGTCCATAGTCAGTTTCTCTCCCTGATGCTGAGGATTGAACCCAGGGCCTCACGTGTGCTAAGCATACACTGTGTTACTGAGCTGTGCTATTTTAAATTTAGAAGAATGGGGCCAGGGATTTGGCTCAGTGGTTCCGCCGCCTGCCTCGCAAGTGTGAGGGCCTGACTGAGTTCGATCTCTGGTACTAAAACAAACAAAAATTTAGATGAACAACCATCCTTTCCCCGCTGTTGAAAAGAATTTATACTGTAAATATCTGTTTACTTTTTATATTTTTTTGCAGAGCTGGAGATCAAACCTAGGGCTTTGTTTATGCTAGACATGTGCTTTCCCACTGAGTTACATCCCCAACCCAGTGACTGTGTATTTTTAATGAAAACGAAGCACATCAAATAAAATTAGTACATGTTTGGTTAATAATAGGTATTGTGATGGTAAATGAACACAAATTAACTAAGAGTCAAGAAGCTAGGATAAAGAGAATGAAGTATGTTTCACTTTTAAGTTGGCGATGCTACATTCTCTTTTCAGAATTCACTTTGTTTTGACCCTTGGTGTTCTTAGCAACACCATTTCTCTTTGGAAAGGCAGTGCTGTCATACCTGTTGGTCTGGTCGCTTAAGTACTTTAGAAACTGTTCCCAGTAACTTTTCCTCCTTCCAAAGGTTAAGAGGATAATTATTTGAACTTTATGACTTGGATTATTCATAAATGGAAATGTATTCCAGTAGGTGGGAGTTGAGACAGCTGAAACATGAAATAGTAGCTTAGAAAGTGTGGTAATTCATAACTGATTTATAGATTATGATTATTATGAATTTAGAGCAGAATCCTTTTTATAAGTACGTTCTTTCCCAACCTAGGGTGCCTTATTATATCATTTCTGTGTTATTTATAATAAATTTGTCCAGCAATTAAGTTTTAAGTATTACTTAACTCTTAGGTATACTATGTTTATGAACTAGTTCTCTTAAACCTAACATACTCAAAACTGATTCTTCTGATATGGACTTCATTTTTATTTTATTTTTTTATTTTTGTTTTTTTTGGTACCGGGGATTGAACTCGGGTCCTTGCACTTGCAAGGCAGGCCACCGAACCACTGAGCTAAATCCCCACCCCTGGACTTAATTTTTAATGGAGCCAAAAGTCTTCGTATTATCCTTGATTCCATAGTACAGTTTTTCCTTTTCCTGCCACATCTAATTAGTCAGCAGGTCTTATTATTTAAAATGCATTCTGATCTTCCCATTCTTTAGCTTCTCTATTAGAACTCAAATCCATGCCATAATTACTCCTGTAATTAGTATCCTTACCCTATTTTGGTCTCAGTTTCCATTGTGTATAACCAGTGATTTTCATATCCCAAACAGATTTGTGTCACTTCTCGGTCTGAACATCTTCATTGACCCCCTGTTAACATTACCAGTAATAAAAACTATACAGATGGTGTTTATAAGATTATTTGAACTGGCCTAGCTTACCTGTGCCATCACATTATTTCGTTACCTTTTTCTGTTTTGTAAATACCCCTGTTCTTGCCTGAAGTGCTTCTTGTTTGTTTCTCCTTTTCTGGAATGGTTATGTTGTCAGATACTCGAAGTCATTTAGATTTTAGGTTAATTCCTTTTTTATATGTTTATTTTCTCCATTGTAATGACGACAGAAAAAGTGTTTTTTCTTGCACAGTTGAAGAGCTTAGGACAGCAGAGATTTTTGTCTATCATGTCATCACTTAAAAGTTTTTGGTACATATCTGCTAAATATTTGATGATTGTAAGCTCTGTACACTACAATCATTTGTTGGTTATGAATTTGCTGTTCGTTAACTAATACTTATATAATGCTTAATACAAATAGATCAGAGGTCTTTTTGCCTGTTGTACGACCTTGGTCGGATTACTTTATATCCTTGTCTTCCTAATTTGTAAAATGAAAATAATAATCTGCATCAGAATTTTGAGGTGCAAACAAGTATATGAAACATGTTCAGTGCTTGGCATGTGTTAAACTAAATAAATGTGTCAGCTATTAAAAACTGCAGCTTTGACAAGCTTTTATTTCATTTTGGGACCAATACTTGCAGGGATTTATAAACTAATGGTAACACTGCACGTTTTTCCGAAACTCCTGCTTGTCATCAATTTGAGTTTTGTTAGCTAATTATCTTTGCTAATTGAGGGAATACTCTCACCTAGCTCTGTTTCTCTGAAGTCTGAAAAATTAAAATACTATTTTGTTGCTTTTGTCTCCTTGTTGCTCTCAAAGAAGTTGGGTTTTTAGGTTTAAGAACCTTAAAAATTTTTATGGTAATCTGTTACAAACCTACCTAATGTAATTTTAAAGCATGAAGGTGAATAGGGGGTTACTGGTGGTGGTGATAAGAAAGTACGACAGGAAGAAGTCATTGTGTAGGATACTGTCTTCAACTCTAGTTCCACTGTGCAACTTCTGCACTGCTGCCATAGCCGCATTGGCAGGCATTGAGGTTTGAGTTTAGAATGTATCCAATATGGCATTATTTTTTTTTTGTTAGATGTTTCATAGAGTATGTTAGAGTGTCTCTTGTTTAATAGTAGGTGACTGAACCTGGGCTTCAGTTTTCTCATCTGTAGGGTAGGAGTTTTAGTGATCCCTGTGTTTGCTTTCAGTATTGGAATTTACGGCTTTTAAAAAAAAAAAAAAAATTTTTTTTTTTTTTTTTCAAAAGTACGACAGGAAGAAGTCATTGTGTAGGATACTGTCTTCAACTCTAGTTCCACTGTGCAACTTCTGCACTGCTGCCATAGCCGCATTGGCAGGCATTGAGGTTTGAGTTTAGAATGTATCCAATATGGCATTATTTTTTTTTTGTTAGATGTTTCATAGAGTATGTTAGAGTGTCTCTTGTTTAATAGTAGGTGACTGAACCTGGGCTTCAGTTTTCTCATCTGTAGGGTAGGAGTTTTAGTGATCCCTGTGTTTGCTTTCAGTATTGGAATTTACGGCTTAAAAAAAAAAAAAAATTTTTTTTTTTTTTTGGAGCCAAGGTCTCTCAGGCTGGCCTTGAACTTGGTGATCCTGCTGCCTTAGCCTCTGGAGTGCTAAGATTACATGGCTGTGCCACTACGCCTGGCAATATATATCTTTTCTTTTGTGAAATTTGTAAAAGAGCATGAAGGAGAACTCTGTGTAACAGAAACAAATAATTTTTACTCCTATTTTTATAGAACAGTCCCTAAACCTTTTTAACAGTTTGACGTATTTTCTTTGTGCTTTTTTTTTTCCTCTCTTGTTTGTCATTAAGTCCTGCTTTTTTGTGTGGCATTTTAAAGTAGAATGTTTTGGAGAGCAAGTCAGCCACAGCAGCAGAAGGTGCCCTGTGGGAACTGGCAGTGCTCTCATGGCTGATCTGGGCCCTCTACCAAACCTGTGGGGTTGCATCCCCAGGGCAGATTCTCTTTTGATTGATTACCATTGTTTTGGAGTCTAATTAGGTACTCAGCAGTCTTGGGCATATCTTTTTACCCAGCTTTTCTTAGAACTGATTATGGAGAATGTGCAAAGACTGAGCAGTGTGTTTATTATAGCAACATTATTTTACACTTGATCTTAGCCAAAAGGCCGAGAAGCGATATATAGCAACATTATTTTAAATAAAATTTTTGAAATTAAAAATCATCCAATAAGAGACTAATTTTGATGTAGCCATTCTGTGGAATATGTATTAAGTAATTGTAAACATGGAAGATGCTCATTTTAACTATATAATGAGTATTAAAATTACATGTTTTATATGTGAAGAGGTGGCTGTAATTGATAAAATTGTGGTCATTTTTATTTGCTTTATAAGAATTTCTTTTTTAAAAAATATTAAATTTTAACAGTCCTACTGAGATACAATTTCCCATACAGTTTAGCCACTTATAAAATCATATAAGTCAACAGCTTTTAGTATATCCAGAGAATAGGGAGGAGGCATTTAAAATACTTGTCATCGCCCCAAAGAAGCCTGGTAAGTATTAGCGCTTTTCATTTCTTCACAGTCCTCCCCCTTGCTTTG